ATTGAAAAACTAATATCAAAAACGATTTTTCACTTGTTATATACGATGTTCATGCTGTTAAAAAATGCGAGATGGAATAGAACCATCATGGAAAGGGCCCAAACCGAGGCACAACCGACTGTACCACCATCCACATCACTTTTAATTTATTAAAAATACCCATAAAAAGCTCAAAGGCAGCGTACAACCCAACTGGACCAGCGCACTCCACAATTACATTTTTATATTCTTTTTTCAATTTTTCTTTATTTTCCGAATGCTTTTTGTAGATTTCCTCAATAATAGCTTTATCCATTTCTTTGCTATGTATTTTTGATAAATTATAAATAAATTTCAACTCATTTAATGCGGTTACATTAAACGAAGAGTGGTTTAAAGAGGATGCTTTTTCCATAAAAGAGTAAATATCAATCAAAGAGCCTTCTGAGCCCTTTGAATGCAAATCCATCATGAAAGTCTTGCAATTTATGATTATATTTATCAATTTCAAGTACTTTTCTTTATTGGATGCAGTAGAAGATTCCTTGAAATTTATAATTAAATGTCCTTTTTGGTTATTGAGAATAAATGGAGGCTATTAAATTAGAATACTGTTGTATCCTTGTACAACAATAAAGAAGCAATACAATAATGTGTTTATCACACAATAGAATTACAATAAAGGTTGAAGAAATAGAATAAGGTTGTGGTATTTAGAATAAACAAATAGGAGACAATTAGAAGACACGGACTGACAATTATTTGAGGCTTTTATATGTAGTATAATAATAGAGTGTAAATACTAGCCGCCACCCCACAACAAATTCGGTATTTATCACGGATTGGACGGGTCTCCCCAAATTTATTAGGACATTTATGGATTACTAAAAAATTTCCGACCTCTGACCAGTTCTAATCATTACCTTTTTTTCTATCATTTCTTCATATTTTTTTAATTCCTTTGCAATATCTTCAACACTATCAAGGGATATGTTAATATTTTTTAAATTTAGGTTAGTAAATTCGGCAACTTTATTTACAAGTCTTTCAAAAGCTTTATTAAATGTTGTAAAAAGATTTTTATACTCCGCCTTTCCTTCAAGCTCTTTATATTCCTCAAATTCAATTGGATCATACGAGTATAAACCACCTCGAGGCATTCCAGTTGAATTATCTATCTCAGCAATTTGCTGTAAACGTTTAATGCGACTTTCTTTTAACACTCCTATAAAAATAAATAAAGATATTTCTAAGAACAACAAATAACTCCAATTATATCGATTTTAAGGTTGCTTCCAGGAAAGTATATCCGTGTCCACAACCGGTTTTAAATAATAATACCTTCATCCAAGTTGTCCATAGCAGCGCCAACATTGAAATTCAAAACGAGAATTAAAGCAAAAATTGACAACAATTTTGCTTTGTCTCGCATTTTTTTGTTAAAAAACAAATTTCCTTCAATAGAAGTGATTTTTAATTAAAAAATTTTTTTTGAATAAACTGATTATGCTAGGGGGTAAATAATTGTTTATATATGGACAAAATCGTCGGGTATACATGATTGATTGAATGCCAATAATTTTTCCAAAATTTATAAAAATTAGAGAAAAAGAAATTAAAATAGCATTAAAAAGCACAAAAAAGCACAAACATTAAATTGAAAATATTAATTTTACGTGTTAAAATCCATTAAGAAAAATCAAGGTAGTGCGCGTACACAAAAAAGCATAAACATTAAATTGATTTTTAAAATTCATATGATTAAATTTACGTAATTTTATTTAAAAAAATTTTAAAAAGCGGTAAAGAAGAGTCTGAATCCTCAATTTCCCGTTAGTCTTGTTTGTTATTTGTTTTGTTTAGATTTAAAACTATAGTAAAGCAGATGGGCTATACATAGCTACTTCTCTCCTTCAGCTAGTGCAAAAGGTTAATCAGTGGCTGGGAGCTACTCATTGGCGTTATTAAAAGTTTAAAGTCCATTTATAAGTAAAAATTCAATTTTTCCTGGGGATGGAGGTGTAAAGCACATAGCTATTTTTCCGACTAATTCCCCAGGGGAATTATCTTTTCAACCCTTCCCTGCATGGGGAATTATTCTAGCCACTGATTAACCTTTTGCACTAGCTGAAGGAGAGAAATAGCTATGTATAGCCCAGCTGCTTTACTCTGGTTTTAAATCTAAACAAAACAAATAACAAACAAGATTAACGGGAAATTGAGGATTCGGACTCTTCTTTACTGCTTTAAAAAATTTTTTAGGTAAAATCACGTTCATTTAGTCATATGAATTTTTAAAAATCAATTTAATGTTTATGCTTTTTTGTGTACGCGCACTCCCTTGATTTTTCTTAATGGATTTTAACACGTAAAATTAATATATCCAATGCTATTTCTTTTTCTCTAATTTTTAGTAAATTTTGAAATAAAAATTCAAAAAAACACAAATAAAAACACGTTCAATACGTTCAATTACTTTTGCTGTTTCTTTTGCTCTTGATGTTTAGCGGAGACAACAAAGTCAAATGAATGAATCAGTAATATTTTTCGTTGCTTGTGTTGCATTTTTGGAATTTTGTATTGATGGCGTAGAGACTTGAAATCTCCGGAGTTAGTGACCTTCTAAAAATCATAACTAGAATAGTTTTGGATAAGATTTAACTTTTGGTGAATTGTGCCTATATGGTGAATTGTTGATTTTGTAAAATGTCTAGTGCCAAATTTAATAAATATAAAATTACTCTTATAAAAATGAAGACATTGCAAATAAATTAAACAAATTTTGGGTTGCCTCGCATGCTTCTGGTAAACGAATTGTTTAAAAAGTAAAAGGAGTCTTTACAGGAACGTCCCAGTTAGCCTGCCGGCTGAGTCCCGCTGTCATATTTTGGACCCTTTTTTAATTCCTAAAAAATATGATAATTAATAACTATCTCATCGAAAGCTATTGATATAAGGATTGATTTGGATTGAATGATCTGATTGATTGATAGAATCAGGTTAACATATTATGAGACTTTTGAGTCAGATAATTTTTTTGTTCTTGGTACCATTGGAACTATCTAACAAAAACAAAGTTTTTAAATTTAAAACTAAAATTTTATACAAATCTAGAAATATGAATTTTAAAAAATGTTGAATAAAATGAAAAAATTGTTCTTGAATAGGGTTGTTGGTAGGTAGCCTCAGGCTCACAAAATACAAAGGTCTGACCATTTCGAAGAGCTCTATCAGTAATATTTTGGAAGACGCCCCTTTCTTTTCCTTCTATTTTTTATCATTTTTCTCCTTTTATGGCAAACTATATATCATTCGAAAAAGCTCTTCGAGCTGAATCGGATGATACTAAAATCAACAAGGTCTGACTTAAATGAAAAAAGTCTTCCAAAATATTCAGACTTTCTCCCTGATATCTTCATGCCATTCATGATATCTACAGGGGGCATTAAAAGGTTAAAATTTTTTAAATAATGGGTGGTGGAGTGAATGGGGGGGGGGGGGTGGGAGGGGGTTAGGGGTATGTTTTAGAATGTTTGCTTAAATAAAGTAAAGCAACTGGTCTATAGCTATTTCTCCTTCAGCTAGTGCAAAGGATTAATCGGCAGCTGGGAGCGAACCAGCATCTTCAGTAAACAAGACTGATGTGCCTGGTGCACAGCCTTGTGCTTACTGCACAACCTTAGGAATTAAATAGCTATACCTATGCTTTACAATAAAAAATAATTGTTTGGTTTGGGTATATAAAATGGAATTTTCTTTTTTACATCTTTCCTTTTTACATTTTTTTCTTTTTACATTTTTCCTTTTACATTTCTTTACTTTTTACATTTCTTTCCTTTTTAAATTTTTTGCTTTTTGCATTCCTTTCATCAGTTTTTAATCTCAGTCTTTTTATTACTCGTCCATTAACATTTTTGTCAAATCACTTTCTTCTTTGCTTTCGTTGTATTTTTTGATAGCAGAAACTGCCTTCTCAACATCGCCAAAGCCTTTAAAATGTTTAAATAAAAATATTAACATAACTTATCTCAAGTTATCAACCAAGAATATTTATTAAGTTCAGAAAATAGTTACGGACAGGAATTCAAAGATAGTACCATTTAAGGTACAAAATTGGAGTATAAGGCCGAATAAGGCCAATTAAGGCTATTAATATTGAGTAAAAAGGAACAAAGAACGAAGTCTTAAACTTCTTTCATCCTCGAAATCTAAAATACCACAAATCAACAGGAAATGGGGTTACAGTATTTCAAAAAATGTTTTAGCTTCCCAGACTCATATAGAATTTATCTTTTAAGCTCATTTGAAAGCACTTGAAATTTGCTACAAAATGCCTCTTGGCATCATAGTTGTAAAAATTTTGTTTAGGAGTCATTAATTCTAAAGTCATTAGTTCTACAAACTTGCCTTCATGTAATACAGGAGTATCGTTTACATTCACAAAAATTGCCGAATCTTTTTTTCGTTTAAACAATTTTACTGCATTTTCTTTTCCATAAATTTTAAGCAAAAATGTTTTCCCAATTAAACTGTTATTGTCAAAATAGAGAATGTGTTCGTCTTGTTTTTCTTGACTTGTCTCAGCTTTATTGCTAGTACTTGCTTCTCCTTTTTCTTCTTTCTTTTCCTTCTTTTCTTTTTCCTTTTCTTCTTCCTTTTCTGCTTCCTTTTCCTTACTTAATTTGATTATCACTTTCTTTTCTTCATTTTTGTATATAATGCGCTTATCAAGCAAATGAGAAAAAAGAGCTTTAAACCATTCTTCTTTTAATTCAACGATAAAATCATCATATTTTTCCAACATCTTTTTACGTTCATCTTTCATTTTTAAAAGCCCTCCGTCAACCATTTTACTATGTTCAATTTTTATCTTTCCCTTCTTTTCTTCCCAGATTTTATTTTGTTCATTTCTCATCTCTTCTAATTTTTCTTTCAATTCTTCTCTGTTTTCTCTTTCAATTTTATCTATCGTTTTCTTTATTTCATCTCTTTCTTCTCTTTTTGTTTGTAACACCTCCAAACTTTTAATTTCGTTTTCCAATTTTTCCAAATATTCCCATTCTTTTATTTTTTTCTCTATTTTCTCTATATTCTTATGTTTCTTAGATAATTTTAATTTTTTTATTAATAGATTCACACAATTCACATTTTTGTCATTTAACTTTTGTAATTCTAACAATTTTTTATCTCTTTCATCTTGTAAATTTTTCAATTTTTCTTTAATGTCAGATTTAACATTACGTTGTTGGGACATTTTCTTATGGAGTATTTTTTCAAGTTCATTTTTTCTATATCCTAGATTTTCCAGTATTGCATGTTTATTCTTTATTTTTTCTTCCGGAAGTTTGAGTTCATTTTCCAATTCTTCTATTTCTTTCTCAATTTTCCCATATTTCTCATTTATTTCTTTTAATTTTCCTTCCAGAATCTTCTCCTGTTCATTTTTTATCTTCTTTAATTTTTCATCCAATTCTTTTTCATCCAATTCTTTATCATGCTTGTATTTGCCTTCGGCAATAACTGTCTCCTCCATCTTCTGTTTAAATTCCTCCTCATTCATCTCTCTCAACTCTTCCATTTCATTTTTAACTTCTTCGATTAATTCAACAATTGCCATAGGTGTATCTGACTCAATTTGTATTTTTGATTTTGTCTCAAATATTTTTACAAAAATATTTTTAACGCTTTTATTACTAAAACAAATTTTTCCAGTTGCGTTTGTTTCATAAACTTTGCCCGTTCTAGTCAATGAACTTTCTGAATTATTTCCTTTCTCTGTCATAACATAACGAATCAAATATCTTATATGTTCATAACGATTGCTAATTTCTTCTGAAAGGAAAAATGATTCTCTAATCAATTGTTCTAAATCATTAAAGTTCAGTAGACTTTTCGGATTCAGTTCTACGGATTTTAGACTTTCTTCTAGACTTTCCTTTAATATATTTTTGTCATTTTTCTTATTGAGGATAACAGCACCATATTTAATTTTTTTAATAAAATCACTAAAAAATAAATCAAAGGGAATTTCAACATTCTTCTCTTTATCAACTTTATCTAAAACAGCCGTTGGCTTTTCATTAGCAGTTTTAATGCCCAAAATTTTTGCGTCACATATCAAAAACGATTTTTCATTTTCTTTCACTTCTTCCTGTACATATTCTGATAAAACGATTAAACGCTCATTTAACGAACTTTTCAAATTTTTGATGTGTAAAATTTTGCCTAGATTAGTCTTTAATTCATTTTTATATACTTTTTCAGATTCAGTGCCCAAAATATAGTTTAATTTTAGAATCCACTTGGTGACAAGGTATATTTTGTCATCTATTCCATAATTAGAATGAGAATAACTGTTAACAACGGTTACATTCATTCCATCTTAAAATTTTTTAAATTAATTTAATTTTAAACCCAATGAAATATGTATGGTCTTTTCAGTTTTCAAAAATGATTATCTTATGTGAATCCTTATTGTAAATTTATTTATAGACAAAAATTTCTGAAACTTATTTCCTAAAAATAGAACACATTCAGCTCTATCTAGAAATATTAAATTTGTAATTTTTAGGTGGGTTTAGTAAATGTGGGTATTCGCTAAGTTAGGAGATGCCTGTAGAGCTAGATATAATTCACCGAAAATTGAAAAACTAATATCAAAAACGATTTTTCACTTGTTATATACGATGTTCATGCTGTTAAAAAATGCGAGATGGAATAGAACCATCATGGAAAGGGCCCAAACCGAGGCACAACCGACTGTACCACCATCCACATCACTTTTAATTTATTAAAAATACCCATAAAAAGCTCAAAGGCAGCGTACAACCCAACTGGACCAGCGTACTCCACAATTACATTTTTATATTCTTTTTTCAATTTTTCTTTATTTTCCGAATGCTTTTTGTAGATTTCCTCAATAATAGCTTTATCCATTTCTTTGCTATGTATTTTTGATAAATTATAAATAAATTTCAACTCATTTAATGCGGTTACATTAAACAAAGAGTAGTTTAAAGAGGATGCTTTTTCCATAAAAGAGTAAATATCAATCAAAGAGCCTTCTGAGCCCTTTGAATGCAAATCCATCATGAAAGTCTTGCAATTTATGATTATATTTATCAATTTCAAGTACTTTTCTTTATTGGATGGAGTAGAAGATTCCTTGAAATTTATAATTATGTCCTTTTTGGTGTATTGAGAATAAATGGAGGCTATTAAATTAGAATACTGTTGTATCCTTGTACAACAATAAAGAAGCAATACAATAATGTGTTTATCACACAATAGAATTACAATAAAAGTTGAAGTAATAGAATAAGGTTGTGGTATTTAGAATAAACAAATAGGAGACAATTAGAAGACACGGACTGACAATTATTTGAGGCTTTTATATGTAGTATAATAATAGAGTGTAAATACTAGCCGCCACCCCACAACAAATTCGGTATTTATCACGGATTGGACGGGTCTCCCCAAATTTATTAGGACATTTATGGATTACTAAAAAATTTCCGACCTCTGACCAGTTCTAATCATTACCTTTTTTTCTATCATTTCGTCATATTTTTTTAATTCCTTTGCAATATCTTCAACACTATCAAGGGATATGTTAATATTTTTTAAATTTAGGTTAGTAAATTCGGCAACTTTATTTACAAGTCTTTCAAAAGCTTTATTAAATGTTGTAAAAATATTTTTATACTCCGCCTTTCCTTCAAGCTCTTTATATTCCTCAAATTCAATTGGATCATACGAGTATAAACCACCTCGAGGCATTCCAGTTGAATTATCTATCTCAGCAATTTGCTGTAAACGTTTAATGCGACTTTCTTTTAACACTCCTATAAAAATAAATAAAGATATTTCTAAAAATAACAAGTGACTCCAATTATATCGATATTAAGGTTGCTTTCAGAAAAGTATATCCGTGTCCACAACCGGTTTCAAATATTAATACCTTCATTTAAGTTGTCCATAGCATCGCCAACATCAAAACTCAAAACGAGAATTAAAGCAAAAATTGACAATAATTTTGCTTTGTCTCTCATTTTTTTGTTAAAAAACAAATTTCCTTCAATAGAAGGGTTTTATGTTTAATTTAAATAAAGATATTTTGAATTTGAAAAATTTTTTTGAATAAACTGATTATGCTAGGGGGTAAATAATTGTTTATATATGGACAAAATCGTCGGGTATACATGATTGATTGAATGCCAATAATTTTTTTAAAATTTATAAAAATTAGAGAAAATGAAATTAAAATAGCATTAAAAGGCACAAAAATGCACAAACATTAAATTGAAAATATTAATTTTATGTCGAAAAATGCATTTAGAAAAATCAAGGGAGTGCGCGTACACAAAAAGCATAAACATTAAATTGATTTTTAAAAATTCATATGATTAAATTTACGTAATTTTACCTAAAAAAATTTTTTTTTAATTATGTATAAAGCGGAAAAGAAGAGTCCGAATCCTCAATTTCCCGTTAATCTTGTTTGTTATTTGTTTTGTTTAGATTTAAAACTAGGGTAAAGCGGCGGGGCTATAGATCTATTTATTTCCTTCAGCTAGTGCAAAAGGTTAATCGTGGCTGGGAGCGAACCAGCATCTTTTCAGTATACCGAAATGATGTGTTATCCATTACATGTCGCTTACTGCACAGCCTTAGAAATTAAATAGCTACCGTATTTTGTGGATTAATTCCCCTCTCTCGATTAATCCCCCATGCTAGGTAAGGATTGAATAAAAAGTCCCCAGGGGATTTAATCGGAAAAATAGCTATATGCTTTACACCTCCATCCCCAGGAAAAATTGAATTTTTACTTATGGATGGAATTTAAACTTTTAATAAAACCAATGAGTAGCTCCCAGCCACTGATAAACCTTTTGCACTAGCTGAAGGAGAGAAGTAGCTATGTATAGCCCAGCTGCTTTACTCTAGTTTTAAATCTAAACAAAACAAATAACAAACAAGATTAACGGGAAATTGAGGTTCAGACTCTTCTTTACCGCTTTATACATAATAAAAAAATTCTTTTTAAATAAAATTACGTAAATTTAATCATATGAATTTTTTAAATCAATTTAATGTATTTAATGTTTGTAATTTTTTGTGTACGCGCACTCCCTTGATTTTTCTTAATAGATTTTAACACGTAAAATTAATATATTTAATGCTATTTTAATTTCTTTTTTTCTCTAATTGTTATAAAATTTTGAAATAAAAACAAAGAAAATACAAATAAAAACACGTTTAACACTAAACACGTCTGTTAGAAATCTTTTTTGGATAAGATTTAACTTTTGGTGAATTGTGCCTATATTGTGAACTGTTGTTTTTGTGTCTAGTGCCAAATTTAATAAATATAAAATTAACTCTTATAAAACTAAAAACATTGCCAATGAATTAAACAAATTTTGGGTTGCCTCGCATGCTTCTGGTAAACGAATTGTTTAAAAAGTAAAAGGAGTCTTTTCCGGAACGTCTCGGTTAGTCCTGGCGGCTGAGTCCCGCTGTCATATTTTGGGCCATAACTTTTTTAATTCCTAAAAAATATGATAATTAATAACTATCTCATCGAAAGCTATTGATATAAGGATTGATTTGGATTGAATGATCTGATTGATTGATAGAATCAGGTCAACATATAATGAGACTTTTGAAGTCAGATAATTTTTTTGTTCTTGGTACCATTGGAACTATCTAACAACAACAAAGATTTTTAAATTTAAAACTAAAATTTTATACAAATCTAAAAATATGAATTTTAAAAAATGTTGAATAAAATGAAAAATTGTTCTTGAATAGGGTTGTTGGTAGGGTAGCCTCAAAGCTCACAAAAATACAAAGGTTTGACCATTTCGAAGAGCTCTATCAATAATACTTTGAAAGTCGCCCCTTTTTTCCTTTCTATTCCATATATGTAATTTTTCCATATAATAAATTACCGTGTGGATTCTCTAATAGAATGTCCTTTTTTAGCGAAAAAATAGAATGGCTACTTCTATTTGAATTGTAAAAAGATGGCCGACTTCTAAAGTATTACCCTGATATCTTCAAGGCTATTTGGATTGATATTTACAGGGGGCATTAGAAGGTCAAGTTTTTAAATCAATAATGCTGGTGGAATGAATGGGGGGATGTTTTAGTTCGTTAAAAAATTGGATAAAATAAAGCATCTAGGCTATAGCTATTCCTCTTCTTCAGCTAGTGAAAAAGGTTAATCGGCGTCTGGGAACGAACCAACGCCTTCATTAGACCGGACTGATATGTTATCCATTACACCACTCCGCTTACTGCACAGCCTTTGGAATTAAATAGCTATATGTTTTACAATAAAAAATAATTGTTTAGTTTGGATAAATATACAATGGGATTTACTTTTCTTTTTTTCATTTTTTACATTCCTTTCCTTTTTACACTTTCCTTTTTGCATTCTTCGAATCAGTTTTTAATCTGTCTTTTTCAACTCGTCCATTAACATTTTTGTCAGATCACTTTCTACTTTGCTTTTGTTGTATTTTTTGATAACAGAAACTGCTTTGTCAACATCGTCCAAGCCTTTAAAATATTTAAACAAAATATTAACATAAATTATCTCCATTTATCAAACAATATTTATTAAGTTCAGAAAATAGTATCGAACAGGGCTTCAAAGATAGTACCACTTAATGTAAAAAATGTGTAGTAGAATACAAAATAAGGCCAATTAAGGCTATTAATATTGAGTAGAAAGGAACAAAGAACGAAGTCTGAAACTTCTTTCCTTATCGAGATCTCAAATATCAAAAAATCAACAGGAAATTGGGTTACAGTACTTCAAAAAATATTTTAGCTCCCCAGAGCTTATATAGAATTTTTCTTTTAAGCTATTTTGAAACCTTTTGAAATTTGCTACAAAATACCTCTTGGCCTCATAGGTGTAAAAAATTCTGTTTATGAGATAATATATAACGTGCCTTTTTAGCTGGTACGGAATCATACCTCACTCATAACTTGGGATAACTTTATAAAACCAGAATAAGAATTATTTCAATTCTAAAGTCATTAATTCTACAATAAACTTGCCTTCATGGATTTCAATAGTCTCTTCATCGTTTAAGTTCACAAAAATTGCAGAATCTTTTTTTCCTTTAAACAATTTTACAGTTTGCGTTTTTTTAGATTGTCTCTTGCGCTCACCCCTGGTCCCGAACCCTATAAATTCTGAAATGTGGGATATTTACTTTCGTTCTTAGTACCATTGGAACTATCCAACAACAACAAAGATTTTAAATTT